CCTAATCCTACTCGCCCTAACCCGGATCGAGCCAGAGAAGTATTAGCACTCCAGACCCCGTGTAACACTATTATTCGCTACTATAGATCTCACCTTATTATTATAAAGTTCCTGTTATATATATAATATAGTAATAATAACTAGTAATTTTAATACCTAATTTACACTCTAGTCCGCTAAGCTCTAGAACGACGTATCTTACTAAGCCTTTTAGTATCTAGAGGCGTCGCGTTCTATAAGGTATATATTCTAAGAGTCTATACTATTTAATCTTACTATCTAACTACTAACTACTATAGATTATATTACTATAAAACGCCTCTAGAGCTTACCTACTAATATCTTTAAGAAGACTTTTTTATATACTAAAGAAGGGGAAGTTATTAGATCTATAGATATAGTTACTACTTATAGACTCTAGAATATAGAATTCTCTCCGCCTATAAAGAAACCCTTATTACTAGTTCTAGATACTATAAAGACCTTAATTAATAAGATAGGGTCGTATACTATAAATAGTAAAGAGATATAGGTAATCCTTATAGATTTACTAAATTATATTAATAATTAGTATTATAATAGAAAATATACTATATACCTAGATATAAGTACTAAACTCCTTAAAGATATAATATAGAGTAAGAATAGACTAATTTCCCTAATAGATAGTATAATACTTATTTTTACTCTAGTAGTAGTTACTAATTATAATCTATAATATAACTCCTCTAATATCTAGTCTTTTACTTACTCCTTTATAGAGGTTATAGAATTATTAAAGAGATAGAATTCTTAGAATATTTTAATAAGGTTATTCTTAATAGTGTATATAACCCTATAAAGTATTATCTTATTTACTCTTTAATAGTATTAGCTTTTACTAGGCGAGTTGCGCCGCTAAGTATCTCTAATTAGGTTAATAACGATCTTATAGTCCTACACTATAAAAAAGCTATAGCTATAGTAAATAAATAGCGTTATACTAGAGGCTCTATTCTTACGTTTAAGGTCTATCGTAGGTTAAGTATACTTATATACTTTTAGCTAATAGACTATACTAGGCTCTAGTAGTTCTAGTAGGCTACTAGTAGATAATAAGTTAAGATAAGTAAGCTTATATATAATTTCTATAGGTTAAAGCCTCTTAATATATTAATCTAAGTAATATAGATTTACTACTATAGAATACTATAGCTATCTCTTAGCGTCTAAAGCTAGAGTTACTAGACGTGTGTGAAATAGTAATATCTTTAAACTTAGATATAAGAAGCTATTAAATCTCTTTCTAGTATCTATATACTATAGAGAAAACTTACTGCTAGAGACTAGGGCAAATATTAGTATATAAATAGAAACTCCCTACTAGCCTTTCTTATATTAATAGATATAGTCGTAGTTTCTAAATAACGATTTTATCTATTACTAGCCTCTATTTATAGTATATAACTCTAAAATAAGAGATAATACTAGAATCGCGTTATAGTTCGTAATAGTTATATCTAATATGTTCTTAGATCTATATAGTTAAAGGGTAGTATTATTAAATAGCCTAGAGCTAACTATTGTCCTTAAGAGATCGAAAGCGTATATTAATAATTAGTATATAGATGTAAAGAACGCAGTCTTAATAACTACCCTACTAGGACGTTAGGCCATACACCTTTAATACTATGAGCTTTTACTCAGTATGCATCGCCGAATAGTTCAAAGTGGCACAAGTCAAATTCTGTACGAGGATAGCATCAGGGCTGTAGCGACGGCTTCGCTTCGAGTGCTCGAAGAGCTTGCTGTCGATGTGGACCCATTACAGGCAGCTATGGACAGGTTCGAAACCGCCTAAGCTAATCCGGACTTAAGCTCCCGCTGGGGTAACTAATTTAAAACCTTAGGGTCATTTTGGGCTCGGTCATATCTGCCTTTTGCACTGTCTCAATATCAGTTCACCTTTTCCCAGATGGCATTGCCGTTCTACATCGCATGGGCTCCGCACTAGGGTTCTTGGCACGAGTCTCGACTTTGTCACCTTTCCCGCTAGACAAGTTGGATCGAGTATTTCGGTTGGTAGATGAACGGATACAGCAGCAGAGAGGTCGCTCAGGAGCGCTACTTGATGCGACTCTGAAGTAATTTGTGGGGGTGCACTGATAGCACGTAGGCGCCTAAGCACTAGGTTTTGCCTTATGTGTGGGATCAGGACCGTGATGCTCCTGAAAATTGATGCAAGGCTCGCGCCATATGGACGTCCACCTACCAATATAATCAATACCATCTGATATTCTTTATAAAAGCATCTAATGGCCTGTGTTTGTAAAATAAGAACAAGGAGTAAGAACACTGCGAAAACTAGAAGCACCTTCATCCAAGATGATTTTGAGCACCGCAACACCGTCACAAAATCCAGTTTTCTCAACGCGAGAAGGTACTATAGCTATATTTCAGCTATGTGTTTATCAACAGTCCCAAACTTTGTACCAAAAACACGACGTCGAATACTATTACCCTTTCGCGTTGAACTTATTCCTCACTGATACTTTGATACATGAACTTCATGCACCTGCAGGTATTCCCACAGAGAAGACCCCAATGCTGCACAAAGTCGTCTCCAAATTTGAGAGGGATCAAAGCATCCCGCGTTGCCATTGCGGAACTCAAGCGCTACTACGATGCACTTGGAGGTGACATTGTGGATCTTGAACTTTGGTCATATCCTTTAGCCTCAAAGAGCGGGTGATTCTAGGAAATTAGATGCGCATTAGTTTTACCCTTATAGTTGACAGCCAGAGATCTTCAATTTAGGTATGTTTATGAGCCGGTGCAAGACTGCTAAGAAGTACGACATTGCTGAATCCACGATACATGGTGGGCAACAAGGTGAACAACCAGACGCGATAGCTCATCCTGAACAACAGCAATTGACACTAGAACCAGGATCCTTCTAGTTGACAAGATAATTGATGAGAACTCGTGTGCACAACCCCCATGTCGTCTACACGTAGGAGGAATGGCACCCAAATCCTACACACGAATAGCGGCTACAAGCCACTTAGGCAACTCTAAGCGCTCCATTTAATTGCTGATGACCCACGAGTCGCGTCGATAGTTGACTGGGCGGTTGAGAATGCGCGTACCACTGGCGCTAACTACGAGGCCGCCAAGCGATATAAGAGCTATCGGAGTGTACACAGATAGGGCTAGGCATACAGTATGACAATATGTAGAATATCAAAGATTCTCATATCAAGGAGATCGCCAGCTAGTTACTCAGCCATCCGCCAGATAGGCCTGACATCTACTCGAACGAGTCTTTGATACTCGTCGAAGCTGACAGGTCCTAAGCTATATAGGGCCCAACAGCCTCCATCGGCTGCTTGCGCCTCTTTGATAATGGATCGGCCGGTACTTACTTAAGCTTACTCGCCTTAACCGGAACCAAGAATAGAGAAGGTATAGCAATCTCCTACGCAAGAGTAGAGCCGCCACGGAACGAAGTAGAGCCGACACGGAACGAAGTAAAGCCGACACGGAACGAAGTGAAGCCGACACGGCACAAAATGCAACATGAACGGACTATGCTAACAGTAACTCCAAACTTCATAGACTCACCTCCACTCTATCATACCTAAAATATAATCTTTTAATATATACCTATTGCGCATACATGTTCAAAGTGGGAATGAGCATTGCCACTCAACAAGGACGAGACGAGCGGTACAACGCAATAGGTTGTACTTGTAATGGCCTTGGTACTAGCATACACTCTGGAGTCAGCAATAGCGATAACGAAGACGCAGTTGTGTTACGACAGAGACGAATATCTACTTGGACGACTGTGCAGAAATACTGGTGGTTAATAAACACGACATTGTTCCTCACGATAATCATTTTACTTATGAATGAGAGGGGGCGATATCAGACTACGAATAGCCAGTGGAGTCTTACTGGGGATATTTCTGGGTTTGCACCTCTGTTTTCGCAAAAGATTGTTAGTTTCAAACCTAATCCCATCTTCACTCCCGAGGACGCGTCGGACTTTTGGAGCAACGAAACACAAGAAGCATGGCTGAGCATTGTCCCCGGTATAATCCTGCGAACCTCGATTGTCTACGCAGATTAGACTAATGCATCATAGAGGGCTTAGGCTACGTAAACGTAAAGAACGCAAGCGATTATCCAAATCTTCCACAGCCCCTCCACCACTATCCAGGCCGGACTGTTTTTACAACATCAGTGACTCATCAGTTACATTGTTTATATGTTATACTCAAGGCTTACAATTCAATGAAACTCATTGGAACCGAACATAAGCTAACGAAACCATACACACCAGAGGATCCTTGGCACCTTAATCATTGCTTCGATTACATCAGACAAGCAATAATGTGTGCAGGGGACGTGGCGCTAGAGGGAGCCGCAACTACCTTTCCAGTTGATGAACATGGTCGTGATAGAGGGGGTAGTGACGAATGGGATGCCGTCCATGTATGCAAAGATTACAGCCAGATATATTCATATTTGGAAAAGGAGTCTGCTAGTCACAAAAAGTGGATAGGTTAGCAAAAATGGAGGAAATTCAGCTACTCTTGGTAGCGCATGAGAGAGTAATGTTATCTGCGTGTGACATGATATCCGTGAACCGCCAACCATTAGGTATAAGGGGGGGTAGGTTGGGGTGTGGCCTACCATTCCTTTCCAAGAAACAACAATCTGACTAGCTTTACGCTAAATAGATGATCCAATCTAACCCAAGACATAACATAAAAAAGCTAGAGAAGTTTCTACCTAGGCCACAGCTACCATAATTAGGGGGGTTTATAGTAACTTAGTATCTACAAATGGTAGTATAGGTTGCTAAAATCAGGAGCGTAATTACTGTTAGATTACTTAAGATGGTAATATTGTATAGCTTTATGCCTTTAGAGTGAATATTTGAATATAATCGCGACTGACTCTGAGATTCGTCGTTCGTCCTACTTTTGATCAACTTGTACGACTTTATCTAACATAAAAGACTGTCAAACAAACGTAGTTTTATAAAAGACACAAGAAGGGCGAAAACGGCTTGGAAACCTTTCGTGCGTGCGCTTAAGATGGCCGTGTCGTGTCCAACCGTAGCAGAAGCACCAGCCTGCCAACCTCCATCTATCACTGTGCGGGTTAGCTCATCGGAGACTCACGCATGCAAAGCTGCTTCTGTTACCCTATATTGGACCGCTATGGAAATAGCAATGCTAGCCACACCACCGAGAAAGCGTAGCAGGTTGCGAGTAGAAGTGGCCACGGCGCGATCCTCTGGCCGGCTCAGGGTCTGGAGAGCTACAAGGCCTGGCATTAAGGTGTTAGCTTTTTAGCGCGAAGCAGATGCGGCCGTGACTCGAGGATTGGAAGTGAATACCCACCCGGCTGGTGCACAGAGTCTACGCCTGCCCCCTCAATCGCTAAAATTACTAAGTACGCAGGCAGTGGAGTTGTGCGTGAGAAGACGAGCTTCAGATCGGCCCTAAGAGACCAAAGCAAGAACCTGACGCGGAGGATGGTTCTATATCCAAATTAAAAGACCGTATAATTAGAACAGTCATTTAGTGTTTTAAGAACAGGGATTGGATATCTACATACCGAGCAAGTTTGGACATAATAGAGCCGGACGATGCGCCAGCAAGGCGTTGAGCTAGAAGAAAAGGTAGTATGAGGGTCGCGCTCTGCAGAGGTTTATAGCCTCAGATAATCTGCAAGTAAAGAGGAACGAGGTACTGCGTTGTCTGCCGGACAAAATCGTGGAGAGCGCCCTATGCCAGAAGAGTTACCGGAAACCACCGCTGGAAGAGCTGCCACGGCATAATAGGCAGCCTCGCCCAGTATCCCTCGTAGAGAGCAAATACAATGAGGCAAAAGACGTCGATGATGATCATAGGTATGGTGTATGCACTGCGCCACGGCCAGATGCTGCCGCCCGAATTGATGGGTATCTCTTGGTCCACGAATCGCCTGGATCAGCATTGTAATGACGATTGCTCGGTAAGTTGTGTAGATCCAATTACAAGAAAAATGATAATACCTAAGAAAGATGCCGCAATCCCAAGCCAGTCAATCTTCTTAGCTTTGTCTTGCCACCCACTCGTAACCGGCTTGAGGGGCAAGAAAAGTAGCAACAAGACCAGACAAAAAGCCGCCAAGATGGCTGGGACTCAGAAGGTCCATCGACAACCATCACGGTAACGTACGAGACTGGCAGCTACAGACGGTCCACCCGTGGCGGCGACTCCTATGGCCAGGTTGATCATGCCCCGGTACTTACCACGTTCCTTCAGACTGAGGAGGTCGCTCACGATAATGGCGACAAGGGAGCTGATGCCTCCACCACCGATGCCGCTTAGCACGTGAGCGGTGTAAAGCCAAGATGAGCTGCGGGCAAAACCGCATAGCAGTCCGCCAGCCATAGTGCACGTGACCGAGACAAGAAGGATGGGCTTACGTCCCGTTACATCGGACAGTCGACCGTAGAGCGGCTGAAATGCAGTCTGCCCTAGTAACTAGGCTGTACCAATCCAGATAATAGAAGATCCGGTGTCGAGGGCGACCGCGATGGTCGGCAGTGTCGTCGTCACTGCGTTCATGTCGAAGTAGGACGTGAAGTAGCACAAGCAGAGACACAGGTACGCGACCATCAGGCGGGCAAAGGGAAGCTGAGAGGCCTGACCTTCCAGTTGCCTTTCGGGTTCCAAAGACAATCTGGCGTGTTGCGAGAGCTGGGTCGGTGCCTCATGCGCAGTGGGTTCTACAGGCAGCTCGGCACTGACAGGCTGCACAGGGATGGCAGCGCTGCCTGTTCCATGAAGTGACTGTTCTGACTAACCCATTTCCTCAGAGTTCCGATACAAGGCCGATTTGAGCGTGACTCGATCTGAGCATCGATTAGTAGGTTCCTAAATGGTCACGCATGCATACGTGCATCTGAGTACTTATAACTCTCGATAATGTGTTCGCTGACCTGTTACACTTACTGATACGAGATACGTAAACTACGTGAGTACAAAATTATGATCGAGCACTACATAAGTGCCTTTTTGTGGGGAAACTGTTTATACATCATACAAGAAATGCACATTAACCCGTGGCAGCATCCGATAACCGATACCCGGGATGTTGAGACCTTGGCGACCCCACTTTTCAGTTGGGTTATATCGTCGTCGCATGTTTGCGATGTCACGTAAGACGCTATATTTCCCACCTTAGTCCCAAGCATGTGCACCGGAGTGCACACGACTAGTTGCCAATTCAGGCTGACACAGGACCATTTTCTATTTTGGGATGCCATATAAATACTTGCTATATCGTTGCATGCTCTACGTAAGGGCCTGTCCTAAAAAAGTGATGAGCTCCTGAATTATAATTATAATTTTGATAATTACTACTTGTATTCGATGGAGAGTATTTAACCTAGAGGGTTAGAGCTAGTTCAAAAGTTACACTTTAATTCTTTTAGTTAGGTGATGATTATACTATTTTTCTAGATCTAGCGTTCGGAAACACTTCTATTTGAAAAAAGGTTGTAAGATGTGTTAGAACTACATAGTAAAATAGTGACTATGCGCACCTATTCTTAGTTTTACTTGTCAACACTATCGCTCTATCAATGCTATAACGCTCTAATCTAAACGACACGTTTACGACGCTATTGTTCTTTCTATCCTATGAAACATCAAGTGCTTTACTATAAAATCAAAGTACTATACGTATCTACTTCTTACTCTTCTTTAACTACACCTTTGTAAGAAACTCTCTCTACGAATTGATTAGACAACTTGCCCCTAAAGATTATTTAATATAGTTCTTATCTCCTCACTACTTCTAAATCTACTATTTCTTTAATCTCTTATTTCTCCCTCTTAACAGGATATTATTACGACTAGCCTTAGAATATAGAGGGTATTTCGCCGTTACATTTATTTAACGAGTAATATATAAGAAGGCGGGAATATAGTAAGAAAAGAAATTACGTAACGAGTCCTATAGATCCTACTTAGCCTTAGCATACTTTATATACTAGGACTTACTAGGACTACGTAACTAGTCCTACTAATCCCCGTAGTCCTATAATCCCTTATCATTACTAGGACTACGTAAGTATATAGTACTAGGTATTAAGCCCTTATAGCTTAATATATTTAACTTAAGTTTTAAGGTTAAGTATAATATAGAGAGTTATTCTACTTGCCTACGTTACTGTTCTATATTACGCCCTACCGCTCTATCTACGAAAACTAACTAATAAGAAGCTTAATACTAGAAGTCTTATAGTACTTCCACTCGAGCTATACTCTTAATAGATATTAAGGATAATATACTATCTTAAAACTTACTATTACTCCATACTTAGTAGGATTTCTTTTCTTCGCAGGATAGTATACTACGTGACTTTGAGTCCCGCGATCATTATCCTGTCCATTAGAATCTCTAGTAGCTTTATGAATATCTGTTTTGATACCTAGAGAGAAAACATCTTCTACTGTTACTTATGATATAAGAATATAAGAATATAATAATGTTACACGGGGTTTAGATCTATACTTCTCTTACTAGGTCCCACACTATAGCTAGTAAGCTTTACGCTAGTGTTCCGTAAAGTTGTCTGGCGAGATAGTAGAGTAGTATACTTAGATAGAAAGGTAATAGAAGGTTTTAATAAACTTAATCTATATTACTATAGACTAGTAGGTAATAATCTTATTAAGTAAAGTAACTAGTAAGAAAGTATAATTTAAGTTAACTATAATAAGAGTAAATAATAAAATCTATCTATCCTTATATCCTTCTTACTTCTAGTCCTACTATTAGACTTCGATCTACTATTACTAATAGCTATCTCTACTCGTGATGGCTGCTATTATATACGGCCCTGCCATCACTAATAGCACCGTCTTGGCGTGATGGCACGTCACGTGACCTAGCCCCGTGACGATTATTACCTTCTGATGTGGACGTCTATAGGCCTTCAGCCATCTCGTCACTTATTAAGGAGAGAATCCTTCTTGTTACTTGTAACAAATGATTTTATTATTTACTCTTATTAAAGTAAACTTAAAATATACTTTCTATCTAGCTACTACACAGGATCAATATATATTAGTCTGTCCAACCGATTAGTATTTATTAACCCTATATTACTACTTCTATGAAGTATGCTACTCTATTATATCGCTGGATAAATCTTACAGAGCTGTTTACTCTATCCTTCTCGCTCTAATCTAGATCGAGCTTAGAGAAGTATTAGGACCTAACTCCTTGTAACACCTGCATTGATATTAGTTATATCGACGTTTTAGCCGTCATATATAATAGCTAAATTACTGGTAGACTAATGTAAAAAAATGCCTATAAGACTAATTAAAGACGCTATTCTTATAACGGGCTAGATAGCCTATGATAGTATAGATAGCGGCGGCTATCTTATGCATTAACCACGCAGAGATATTAGCAAGTTCTAATATCTTATGTTAGCCTGTTTAGCGCAGTGTGTGCGTTCTAGTTGCGAGCGCAATCTATCAGGACTTGACCCATTACAATTCTATTATCATAGAAGGAGTTCTTTGCCAAGGCAACGGTGGGTACAATGATTTCTAGTGAGTAAGCCGGAGACTGGAATGAAGACATCTCGGTGGATTCTATTAGTAGCAATGCGAAACGTTCAGAGTTATTAGTACTAATGTTAAATTAATTAGCTCAGGTAAAACTTAGATGACTATAGCCTAAAAGGCGGCCTTAAAGCGAATTCGGGATTGACCAAATTCGTTATTATCCGAAAAGTCGTATGCCTTAATGATAGATGGTAATAATTCCTAATATGGTTAGCGTGTAGGATACGTCTTCGCAACGTTAGCCTAATAAGAAAAAATCCGGACATACACTAATCTTTTACTAGCTTCTACGTCATTAATTAGAAAGTGGAGAAGACTAAGAAACTACTAGGAGATCACATCTTACGCTCTAAATAGAGGTATTGATAATATGCCGGTGCTCAGTAAATTATTTGGACCAGATTCCGGAGTATACTTTGGTCCTTTTTCAAGCTTCTAGAAAAAATAAGAGTATCGGTGCTTATTCCGTCTTAGACTGCTCCGCAACCACACCAAATGCGCTTTTTAAAGCAATAACAGGAATTCCTCCTAATTTCGTTTTCGACGTAATTTTCGCCTCTTCTATCCATAAACTTGGCATGCAGAAACTCTGGAAGGTAAAGGCATCTAGCAGCTATCTAGTCACTATTCACGTCGTCGTACTTAATGTACTAGACGCTAAAGCTAAATCTTTAGGCGAGTGTTAAGAGCCTCGCTATAAGATTAAACAGACTCTTAGGATTAGTAGCTCGCCAGCGTTGCGAAATCTAAGCAAGCCTCTGGCTAGGTTCTTAGGTGGACATCATCGATACATTGCCTAGGGCCTTTTCACCCCAAATAGGCTGCATGTGGTGCCTAGAAGGCTTAACGCTCTAGGGAAAGCCTTAGCATTAAGTAAAGGTACCGTTTCCAGTAGAAAGGTCGTAATTTGTCTGTATAACGATGAGGTTATGTGTGGACTTTGTTTCAATTGCAATAGCTATCTGATATTGTCATCGACGACGTCTATACGTTTGTTGCATATTATAATATGAAGATGGCTATAGAATATCATTTTATCTACATAATTACGGTACTTGAGCTAAAGTAGCACTTCTAATCTCCTTGAATGTTCCATGGTCAAGTGGCCTATGCGATTAAAGTGAGCTATGCGACGCAATATCAGCGACACATTGCTTTACCGCCCTAGCGCTTATCTTCCTTACATTGCTATCCCGAGCGCTCGTACCGTGGACGATTACTCTCTAGTAGGGTTGAAATGGTATCAATACTAGAGAGAAGAATAAATACAGTGGCATGGCGTTATGAATGCGTATACAAAACAGTGATAGTGTGTTAGCTGATAAGCTATAAAGATGGGAACTTAACCTTTCTATACAATTCTACAGGACGATGTTGGAAGAAAGAAAGGCAGTGAGAAGCGACAACGATCTCAAATTTGTATACAATTATGATGATTATGTCTTCCAACATAGTTTAATCATCTAGGTACCGGGCTAAGGCAATAGCTACTACGAGCATGAACCTGTCCTATTAATAAATATCTCTACAGATAATAAGGTATAAGTGTATGCTACAAAGGCATGTATTTACGATGTGGCTACGATAATATTGCCTATCTACTTTACGCTAATTTAGATAAGTAGTAGGATTCTATTCTTTTAGTTGTATTGATTCGAGTCCACCGCCTAGCGCTTCTCGGAAAACAAAAATCGGTTCTCTCATAACTTCGAAGATAGTTTTCTATAAACTTAAACTCTTTAAGCACTATAAGTAGGGATAACTGTTGATGTGGCATCTCTAGATATAAATATCTCATTAAGATTCTAGTTTACAAATAAGAGGATGCTATAAGTCCTAGTTTTAAAATAACATAATGAGTTACGTAATAGACAAGTGCATCCAAGTGTTATAGAGTACTTAGAACGTTTGCAAGATTAGCACTGATTGGTGATTTACCTCTTAGAGACTTTTGGGGGAAAAGAGTAGGCGGTTTGGCTAGTTTAAATAGATTTAGCACAGTCGTGTTGGGATAAAGGTGAGGACTGAGCCACTATCCGTTCTCTCTATTTATTCCTGAATGCCACTTCTCTTCAATAAGCACATGATTCCACGGATTCATAGCTAGGACTTTAACAAGAGGGCAATTATCCACGCTCACAGAGTACGTAGTTTCCGACTATAGACACAATTGAAAAATCAACTTTTTACCAAAGACTTAGAGTCTCGGGGTGGTAACCTCGCGCTCACTAGCCTTATAGGTAATTTAGATCTTTAGAACGAGAAAGATGTCCAAGAAACGAACTAAGAGGACGCATAAATAGGCTAAAGTTCATAGTAGTGTCGACGATACCAAACAACCCCATTGTAATCACATAAATAATTTGATGACTATGATGATTGCATCTGAACTCGCTCCATCCCGGCTGCCATACCTCTAGGCCTAGTTCTTCCCACTGTGGAGCTGCATCGGGTTTATCCATATCGGGTAAGCGCCGAGAACCGCGGGTATCTCACAGGCCTGTTTGATATCGTACATGCTTTAGTTCGAGTTCTTAGCACACTCGTGTATTCTTATAACAATACCGCCTTTACTATTGTTCAGTATTTGATACTAGACACTTCTGCTTTCTCCGTACGTGTGGGCTGAATATTAGTACGCCTGAGGTTGGCAAAATTCACGTCGTCATGGAGTACGATTTTCTCTTTCTAGGCGCAAGTCCAGCCTGCTTTCTAGGAGCAGCCTCTGGTCTCCTATGTCTGCTTTTATGGCTTTCCACGAGGAACACTGCAGAGTTGGAAGCGCCACTTCTAACCAATGATTCCGGGGACTTCTTACAAATCATGAAGAAGGGTTACGCAGAAGTGAGTAGTCGATTTGAAGGGTCTTTGATCGAAGTAGACCTGTTATCGATGCTTTGCTAAAACAAACGTGCGCCATCAAGTACCGCGATCGGCTGTTTAAGATTCCTACATCCAACAAACCCATGGTGATCGTACCCACTCACTTACTGGACGATCTCAAAGCGTATCCCGAAGACAAGATCAGTTTTCGTCAGGAAATGTACGATCGTTACTTGGGAAAATACACATCGGTCGCTTCTAATAGCAGCGCCATGATCCACTCCGTCAAGTTTGATTTAACTAAAAACATCGGAAATCTTATTCCACAAATGCAGGACGAAACGAGCTACGCTATGAGCGATTTCATGTCTGACTATATGCCCGGGACGCAAGGATGGACAAGGGTACCAGTTTATGCTTTGTCTACGCGTGTCATTGCTTTGGTATCAGGCAGAATTTTTGTCGGCTTGCCGCTGTCACGAAACAAGGAATGGTGAGTATGACGGGCTCGGTAGAGAATAGTGAGAGAAAGCTAACGCTGTGGTAGGATTCATACCGCTATCTATTCAACCATTGACTCTTTCGGCGGGGCAGCTATGATGTGGCAATACCCCTCATGGTCTTGGCCGATTATGCAATGGATTATACCCCAAACAAAGCGGATACGCTTCTACCGACGAAGGGTTGCAGAGATGCTCAAGCCAATCATTTTAAAAAGACTTGAAGACATGGAGGGGGACCCCGAATTCAAGAAACCTTCCGATATGATTCAATGGCTGATTGACAACTCCGACGGCCGAGGCGGCGATCTTGCATTCCAGGCGAATGAGCACATAGTCATGAATGTAGCTGCCATTCACACTACTGGTGGCCAGCTTGCTCATACACTTTATGATCTTGCGCGATATCCCGAGTACGTGCCTCAGCTTCGTGAGGAGATTGACTCGGTTTTATCTCGGGACGGCAGCATCACGAAGCAAGGCCTCTTCCGCCTGAAGAAGATGGATAGCTTCTTGCGTGAAGTGCAGAGACTAAGCCCTCCGTCCATGGTTTCAACTAACCGAAAAGTCTTGAAGCCTCTGAAACTTTCAAACGGAGTCGTCATCCCTGCTGGCACATCGTTAGCTGCTTCTCCAGCATGCGTGAGCAGAGACCCTGCGATCTGGAAGAATCCAGATGACTTCGATGGACTTCGATTCTACAAACTTCGAGAAGCAGAGGGAGACGAGAAGTATCAATTTGCTACAGTTAATGAAGACGCCCTAAGCTTCGGTGAGTAATGGTCGATCTCGGGTGGGCAATTTCAAATGATACTAATCTTCATTCAGGCCACGGCCGCCATGCTTGTCCAGGGCGCTTTTTTGCGTCTGCTGAATTGAAGATTGTTTTACTACACATTCTACAGAACTTTGATATAGAGCTTTGCGACGATTATAGGAAGGATCGACCTTTGAATACTTTCGCGGAGGTTATGGCTGCACAGGACGTCACGTACGAGCTTCGTTTCCGCAGAAGGGCACAGTAACACTACTACCCTCTATCCCTCTCATTTCAACCTGGTTAGGGTTAGGGTTAAAGAAGACTTGCGTCTGAAAATAAACTCGATTGGATTTGGTGTCTTTCTGTAAAGTGGTTCTCTAGATACCTTCGTAAGAAGTATACCTTTCGTTTCTTATAATTCTATAGAAAGAAACTCGTTAGGAGCGTACCAGAGGGCAGTTTTTATACATTAGAGCGGAAGGAAGTTCTCCCGACGTGTCTACCTTGCCACCTAGATAAGCTCCTGGCGGTAAGCAGAGGAATATCCTACGTAAGAGGCACAGCTGTAGTTTTTGATACCCTATCCTCAATCCCTGACAGGATTAAGGTCAAAATCGACCTTAATCCTAGATTTCTTGGCGACTTTGCAGACCTTAATCCTGCAGAAAAGGA